AATTGATTTCACAGAAGTTCTCATCTCAAGCATTCCCCTCCTACTACATTGCTGCCCCACATGCATCTACTTGTCCGTCTTACTGTCCATTTCATTAGTTTGCTTTCAGTGTGACATAGTTCACTATACTTGTCTCAAATGCAGTTTAAGGATAGCTAGTTTCTGCAAGAGGCTTAGCAGACGTGCTTTTGCATACTCAGTCTCCTATGAGGTGGTACCTACAGTAGTAGAAAGGATGGTACCGGAATGAACTAATATTTACTGGTAGTTTTCCCAGAGTGGTTTTATTAGAATTACAATACTCTTAAAATACTTGGAAAGAGGTTCTGAACCTTCCATTCACTTGTGCTTTAGAGAGCTCTCTTTTGGTATCCACAGAAGTAAGTATTTTGAAGACCAAGTAGAGACAGGGGAAATCAAAGGTAGAAGGAACTAAAGGGTAAAGATAAGACAAAACAGGAGTTCATTTTTGAGGAGGTGGGCCTCCAGTGAAAGCACTGGAGGCATCATCTCTGCTGTCTGGAAAACCTTTCTCTTCTGGATTTTCTCTTTTACAGCCAGTGTAGAGACAAATGTGATTAATGACTTTTTCAAGCATGTAAATAGTAGTGATTTCTTGAAGCTTCTTTAACTAATTTATTGTTCTTGCTAAGCTCCCTTTAGTTAAAAAATATTGACATAGGCAGCACTGACTCAGTAACATGCATATGCCATCAAGTCCCAAAGCATTTGGATTACTTACCATCAAAAAATGCCAAGGTTTTGCTGGCAGGGTTAAATGAAAATCACTATTACATCTAGCTCCACTAGAGCTAGGTACCAGTCTGTTGTGTTGGCTACCAGTCCCTAGAGTAAGATAATTTTATCAGTAAAGTTGTCTGGTATGCATGTTTGCTGAGAAGATGTATGTCTGGAACTGATCCTTCAAGGCAGGACTTTCCAAAGTGGAATTACTCCTTGATCATATTTTCCTGTCACATCATGATTATAGGTTACCACATTATGATGAAGCCTTGCTGTTTGTTGAGACTGTCCCTTTGTAGGATTGAATGTATTATTTTAGTGCTATCTTTGAATATTCATGGAATGCCAAATGGGCAGTCCAATTAAATCTGATCCCTACCTTGTCTCTCAGTGTTCTGTTTGACTGGGAGTGCCTGAGCCTCAGCCTTCCTTCCACACTCCCACAATAATACTCTAGTTTGTGAGAATGGTATGGCCTGTAACAGGAGCTTACTCAATGTTGGCTCCAATTTCACAGTCTTGGGAAGTGCTTTTCTGCTTATCCTTGCTGCATTAAAACCTCTTTAATATTACTAATTTCTGGTAATTATTCTATTTAAAATTAGCTTAGTCTGCTGGCTATATAGCCTGTGTGTTGTCTTTAGTAACTCTCTTCTTTCAGAGGACCTCTCATTAGTTGTTCTAGGTGTGGCACAGGACCAGAGTGGTGATGCTTTCACAGAGGACTTGGCTCCATTGTTAGAGCTGTGGCATTTCCCCCTCCTGTACCCAGTGTAGTTCTTTGATTTAATGTCCTATTACTGAGGTTGTGTAATGTCAGTGTCACTCCCAGAACATGCCGTGTTGCACGCACTTTGTGTGCCAATGTGGTACCAGCAGAGCTCTGCCTGAATGTGGAGATGGGTTCATTCTTAGAAATGTCAGGAATGTGAGTTCCCCTTCTTTTATAAAGCCCTTTCAACAAGATTCAAAGTAGGAGGTAGACATAAAAAACGAGGCGGGAAGGTCAGTGATGGCCTTTGGAAGAATTTGATCTTGCAAAGCAGTGCCTGTGCTATATGTGTGAATAGTCCTTCCTTGGTACCAAGGGAACTGCTGAAGAGAAAGCAATTCTCTTTGCCAACACGTTTAGGATTAGTAAAAAACCTGAGACTTAGGTCACCAGAAAGCTGGTGGTTTTTTGTTTGTGGCTTTTTTGGGGTTTGTTTGTTTGTTTTTGTGGGGTTTTTTTGTTTGTTTTTGTTTGTGGTTTTTTTTTATTTGTTTTTGTTTTTTTTGTTTTTTTCCCTGGAATCACAGCAATCTCCAAGGCTTTATCTCATATTTTGACTGCTACCTGCTGGTGCCTGTTATAGCTGCCACTGAAAGTCAGACTTATCTCCTCTTTCTCTAAGGGAAGAAAAACTCTAAGCATGTTTCATCCTTATTTAAGTCTCCCTATTTTGTTTCCATCTGAAGTGATCTTGGCTGCAGTCTTAACAGAATTTTAAGGGCCAAAGTCCCAAGCACTTCTTCCTGTCTAGTGATGTTCCAATGTGTTTGTAATAAAGAGTTGCGAGCTTTTTGGGTGAATAGTGTTGTGTATTGCTTTGCAGGACATGTCTTAATTTCATCAGGAAGGGCAGTGGGGCTATGTACATGATGTACATCCATGCTTAAAATAAATATTCTATCCTCACATATGAATCTTGCCTTCCAAATGTGGTGTGTGAGAGATTTCTAATGCTTGTCTCTTGTTGCAGCATTGCTTTCAGAAGCAGAGATTACAAGGTGGCAGCTGTTTTCTCTGAAACTGTCGTTTTGATCTCAGGGTGGAATCAAAGGATGTAGGGAGGAAGGAAGCCTGAAGCATAGCAGAATGCGAGATGTAGGTCAGCAGACGTCACTGTCCCACCTTAGGTACAGTGGGACAGTACTGCACTTCAAATAGGTGACATGATTGCCGCTTTTATGCATTTGCAATCTCTGTTCATGTATTTCAGTACCCTATTCCATACCACCAATTAAGATTCACAAGTTTTAGTGGGAAAATAATATTTTTTTTATTGTCTTGGTTCTACTGCCATCTGCTTTTATTAGGTCTGAGCAAACCATTGAGCGTCCTTGGCCACATTGTTCCTCTTATGTGCTCAAGCATAATTCAGCCTTGCTGTGCACCAAAACACAAACCTGTCACATGGATACAGTTAGCTATGTTCCAGTGATTGGTAAGGCAGTGCTTCTGTTTGAGCAGGAAGCACTTTCAATATAAATTATATTTATGTGAGAGCTTTTTCTTTAGGACCTGGAGAATCCCAAAGCATTCTTAGGCCATATATAGGAGTCATTAAATGAAATGCAGGCATCTTTGAGACTGTAAGTGGCTGGTGTTTAATAGTGTATACTAGTGTAAAAAATCCCCAGCAGTTCAATACTCAAGGCAAGGATTATTTTGTCTCTGATTGTCTATTCACTTTATTCCTATAATTTCTTTGAGTTATCTGTGGTGGGATTTGTTTAGGAGAGCACAGCTAAGTAACCTCTTTATCCTGTTTGGATAAAGCTCAAGTGTCAGCTTCCTTTTGCATTATACAGCTTCTTTGTGTGCTGTACAAACTTAATGTTTCAGCTTTTGAAGTGTGCTGCTCAAATACAAGTGTGCGGGATAAGAGGCAAACTGCCTCTCTGACTGTTTTGTGTTTTGACATGTTCTGTAAGACCATTGCTTTTAGCAAAGAATTTTGTGGGTGATTATCTGAAGAAGAGGACCCAAGAGTTTCTGCAATGTCAAACGAGCCCATAGATTTAAAGCTTCACACCACATGTGGTGGTCTGTTTATTTTTATTGCTCTTTTGCAATTGCTGCATTTCTAATTTTTTGGGAACAATGGGCAGCTCTCATTGATCTTGAAGGTCTGGTGAGCTCTGTAGTGACAGCTTGTATTTCTCTGGGAGGTATTCAGCAAAGCCAGAAACCTTTTTGCTGTCTGGTGTGTAAAGTTTCTTCTGAGTTATGTGCTACACACAGCTGTGAGAAGAATTAAGTTTCAGGATAATGAAATCATACCCATGTATTTCTTCATTTTCCACAGAATGTTTTTAGCTCTTGGGCTAACTGCAGCTTTCATCACCATCTTTGTGTAACAAGATG